AGAGATGCACGGTTCATTTTTGTAGCAAATTACAGGTTAGCATGCCCCACTGGTTAGCTCATTGCCGCTGCTCTGCGCTGCTCTGCGCTGCTCTGCGCTGCTCTCATATCGCGGTTACAGCTGAACGCTGTCCCGATCTACAGCGTCGTCTCTGAAGCGTAGCACCCATCCCCCGGTTCCCCCTCAGGTAAACACTGGTAGACAGCTCTGTTTGCACTGTTGCTGTAGTTTGCACTGTTAGTGCTGTTAGCACCGTTAGCTACGTCGCCGTGTTGTGAGCCGTTGAGAGGCAATAGAAATGCTCATAAATAGCCCCTTTAAATAATAGATATAGTTTGTTGTGGTTTTGTCTTTCGTGTCTATCAGTTATAACAACATTGTACTCATCAAGGTAATATCTGAGATCTGGGACCATGAAAACCTGAGCAGCCACTCGATCAGACAAACGTCTCTGACTCTCGTCTAACCTTTACAGCCTTATAAACTGATGACAGATATCACAATAACCGTCGGGGGGGGGGGGACTTCCTGCAGAGGCAGAACTCATCAGAAGTGTCTTTGGGTTGAGAGCAGGGGCGTAGTTAGGCCTATTTTAGGGGGGCTGAAGCCCCCCTCAAATGTTCTTCAGCCCCCCCCAAATAATTTGGCATTATTGGCTTAAAAAAAAAAAAAATTATTTTGGTGATGTCATTAAATTAAACTATTGTTTCTCACATGGACAAGTTATTTGTAACTCTAACATGCTACATATGTGTGCGTGCGTTCTGGTTTGTATGTTTTCTCCCCCTTCAAATTACAATCCAACAGCCTATCATCATACTTAACGATATAAAGTTGACACTGTCAGGTCCATTCTCCATCCATTGTGTGCGGCCCCTTTAAGAATTAGGATTTGGGAGTGACGCGGATATTCTTTATTTGAGAAAAGTTCATATTTGTGTTGTCAAATTTCACTATGACCCTCAAATTCGGTCTCTTATGTTATCATATACTGAATGCAAGCAAAACTAAAGAGCAAAATCACACTCTTTCTGATTGAACCAATCTATAAACTGTCTGAAACAATGGATATCCGCGGCCCCAAATGGGCCCCAAAAAAAATTGCCGCGCACTACACGCACAAACATTCCATTCCCCTTGGGACTAAGCCCCCCCTTTCTTTGAATCCTAGAAACGCCCCTGGTTGAGAGTGAACTGGTGGAGCACGTGAGGTCCACGTCCACACACAGGCCCCGGTGACCTTGTTGGTTTTGGACCATATTGCTAACTTGCGTCCGCCATGCCGCTGTGTTTCAGCTGGTTGTCAAGGCAACCCAGAAAGAGAGGATTTTTTTGGCTGATCTGGGCGGACGGCAGCAGTTCTTCCTCCCCGGCATCGCTGCCTTCTTTCTTCTCTCTCTCTCTCCTCAGTGACTGTGGCAGCTGGTGGGAGGCAGTGGGTGTTGTGTAGCTTAGCAACTCCCTTGGTGGATGGCGATTGATATGCAGCTTTGTTCAAGTGTCTCTCTCTCTCTGAGGCAGGGAGGGGGACGGCTGAACAAAGCCGGCCTTATTGAAGCATCCCCCCCCCCTCCCTCTCTTTGCCCAGGCACAGCGACGTGGGAGGACACATTTCTCAGCTCAAAGGAATCGAGACTTACAAATACACAACAGCGGGTCCTGAGAGTGTAACTCAGGGGCCCCGCCGACATCTGTGAAGGGCCTCCAGGTGTCCCCAGCAAAATGAAGCCTTTATGCCTTCATAGTATCAGAGGTTGTCCATGTAGTATGAACTTTTTCTTAATTCACACGAAATAATCAAACCACTGAAATCAACAGGTAAATTCTTCTTTATCTGAATAAATGTGTATCTTTGGGTCTGTGATATTAAAATACCAGTTTGAATATCAGAGCCTCCACCCCGTCATACTTGTTGATATGTGTTGTGTTGGTATATTTGGGGATACTTGTTTCACTTACTCAGTTACTTTCCTCAGTTGTGCAAACCAGGAACTTAGACTGAACTTCAACTGTTTATTTGGTAAAATGCATAAAAAATTGAGCAATGTCAAACTCAAATCTACACGCAAGGGAAAATACCGTTCTTTTGAGCCTTTTTTAAAAAGGAAAATGTACAATTTGTGTTATACGTTGCTGTCTTTGTCGTTTTTGTCTTAATGAGAAGATGAATATGAGTTTATCTCTCTGCGTCCAGTTCAGCGATGAGGGTTGTTTTGACAATAAATATGTTTTACTTGAGTTCGGTCAGTCTCTGATTAGTAAAAAAATGCAGATAAGATTGCAAATATAAAATAGAAGCAATCTAATTTTGAGCCTAAAAAAATGTCCTGCTGAGTGGTAAGCACATCAAAGGTGCAATAAATATATATATTAATATATTATATATATAGCATTAATATAGCAGCATAAAACTATTATCTGTGTAAAGATATAGTGGAGTAATGATACCTGAGCAGAGAATAAAGTCGCACTCACTATGTGTGTTGTTATCAGAGCTTCTTCTTGCTTTGTTGACCTTTAGTGCATGTTAGTGCATGTTAGTGCATGTTAGTGCAGGTTAGCGCATGTTAGTGCAGGTTAGTGCATGTTAGTGCATGTTAGTGCAGGTTAGCGCGTCCCTATGTTTAGCTCATGGCCGCCGATTTGCACTGCTCTCATACGGCGGTTACAGCTACCTGACCAGCTTCTGACCATCGGCGTTGTTGTGGAAGCTTATCACCCATCCTCAGGTTTCCCCTAACACTGTGAGCTCTGGCAGTAGTTTGCACCGTTACCGCTGTTAGCTGATGGCAGCCGGCTCAGCCATCGTCACAGTGAGAGCCGCTGAGAGGTGTAACAAATACTTCCAATCTTGTATATACCCCCTTTTTAGTACATGTCCCATACAGACTAAAATACAATATACAAAACATACAGCTTCAAAACTGTCAAGTTGCGACATTGAACAGGTTGTAAATGTAAAAAGACTTTTAGCAGTAGGGAAATGTCTACTTTCTTTTAATATCTGGAGTTATTGTGGACACAAGATCTATATCTTTATCCCTATATTTTGCACAGGATATTATCTTGCACACACAGGATAGCATCTTCAGGATAAGATCCATATCATGTGTGAATATTGAGTGCATGCACAAGATAATGGATTTGGATCTGATCCATATCTCCTCTTGCACAGATAAGATCACATCTGAATATGTTAATAACATAATATAAGGTAATATAACACATCAAGATGTGGATCTTGTGCCCAGAAGATATTGTAACATTATTTTAAAAAGCTATCTTGTGGGACTTCATGGGGTTTTAGGTTTTTCACTTCTTAAGGATGCTTTTATACGTTACAAGTTCTATCTTATCTCATCATTAAAAGTTGTCGGAATAGTTTGCTGGTAGAAATGGAAGACATTTTTTGTTATATTAAAAAGACAAAGCTGAGAAGCGCCTGGAGAAAGCGAGGCATTCTTGTCTGCTCTCCCCAGCAACTTTGTCACAGAGCGACTGTGTCTATTATGTCTGCAGAAACTCAAAGGCCAACTGTTATTGTGAAGCTGTGACCTTCAATAATTGAATAATGACTAAAGAGGAGCATCACAGTCAGGCGTGAACAGCTTTCTCCTCCAGTGGGTGTCGAGAGCGCTGCTGCATTCCTCCGAGCGGAGATCAGAGGAAACATCCGCCATCGCTCTCTTTTTATTACATAAAATTAATTCACATCGGGATTCTCAGAAAGTGATCGCATGTTCACCGAAAACGTGAAGGTTTAGGAACATTTGCAGCTCTCCACTAACAGGAAACTATTCTGTTCCCTCTCTCTCTCTCTCTTTTCTTTTCTGTTTGGAGAAAACATGTCTTCTCTCCCCATTGTTATGTTCCTCTATTGTTTTCTCTTTGTGACTTTTCTCTCTGACTTTCTTTTCTTTCACTCTAACTGGTTCTGAACGCCTGCAGATTTAATTCTAGTGCTTTATGAGAACATTTTATATTTTACAACATGAATCCATGTTAGACAGCAGAAAGTCATAGCTGTTTTTTTAACGCTGATTTTTGTAAAAACATGTATTAAGCTTTAGTTTAACAGGTGTCCCACTTTGAGGAGATTCTTGCTTTTTTCGTGGGAGTCACAGAAACTACCTAACAGGATATGACTGAAGTTATTTTATAATGTTCTCACTGTCAACAAATCCAACATGCAGACCAAAACCAACAGTGTGATAATTCCCTACTGTCTGTCGCTCTCTGCTCCAAGCTCATTGGTTCTTACTTAAGACAAAACTCTTTATAAACACTTCACAAAAATATAGTTTCAACTAAAAAAAGGCTCTGTAATTTCCTAAAACAGCTGGTCACTGTAGTCTTCAAGTTACTGCAAGAAGATGTAAATAGTGCATTTGTTGGGGACTACTTTCAGCGGTGGATTGATACCAAGTTGCATCCTCTGGTGCTGAGGAAGGGATGTATTGATGGATGTGTAAAGAGGGAGCCCCTCCCCCCCACACTTCACAACTGCTCCTCAGAAACCTGTGTGACGTCACAGAGACTACGTCCATAATAATTATACAGTCGATGATTGACACACATTTGTCGCTCTAGACAGTATTTCCTGCAGCAGGACGGTCAAAATGAACGACAGCGTGTGTTCATAGTAACTCAGTGTGGATCATCAATGTGTTTTTAATAGTTTTTGGACAACAATGGAGCTCGATGGCACCGAGGAAGAAGATTTATGAGGCTTTGGATACACAGACAACAGTTGCTAGTTGATCATCTCATCATTGGTTTTGGTCTTTTTATGGGATTTGTTGACAGTAATGAAAATATAGAATACCAGAAGACTTGTGTTTTAAAATGCGATTCTGCATCTTAGAGTTCTTCAGAGTTCAGCAGATTTCTATTCAAACTATTAGTGGAAACTGTGAACATCAGCTCTACTGCTTGTCTCAGTTAATAACGTGTGTACCAGACATTCAAAGAACACACTCGGTGGCAGGAATCACTGACAGGTGATGAAAAAGAAGAAAATCTAAACTTTACTAAACCAAAAGGTAACAAAACAAGTCAAACTTCACACTGCATTGTTTCTCATAGCTTCAACATTTGTGACTGATCAAGTTCAAGAAGTTCACATCAGTCTGAGTGTCTGCTGACTAAAAGTCTCAGTATGTCTATTTTCAGTTTAGACATCTTAAAAAAAACAAATCAGTGTTTCTGTCTCATACAGTACTCAGAGCAGATACAACTAACATCCTGTTTGAGCATTATTAATAACTATAACATGTTTCATAATTATGAGTACTACAATAACAGGATTTAATCCATCAACAATAAACTCCCTTACAAAAGAACAAATATTGTATATAATCATCTATTTCTATTCAGACAAGTTTGTGCTCCTGCAGTGGCTCTACAGTTCATACAGACTTAGATCTAAGGATCATTACAATCGATCACCACCTGGGTTTTCTATCAGTCATAATAACATCGTACTCACTCAAGTCAACAGCTGAGATCTGAGAAGATGCAGGTCGAGACACACGAGACGATCAGACAGGTTGGAAACAAATCTGTTAGCTAAACCAACTCCATTTGGAAGAGGAAACGAGTCAACGATGTCAACATCCATCACAGTTCACACACCCATCTTTGACCTTACTGTGTTTACCAGTCAGCAGTTTTATGTGGCCAAATAAAGTGGTTTAGATACCAAGAGTGTGGGAAGAACCCAACAAACCATTACACCCCAAGATCAACATGCGACTCCAAAACTGTGGCCGTTAACCTGCTGCTGTAACAGCCTCCTCCAACACCGATAGTATGGATCATCACATCTGGCTCACAGTCAGAGCTCCAGTTCGTCCAATGGATGAGGTTGAGGTCAGGATTCAGTGCAGACCAGTCAAAATCTTCCACACCAAACTGGGAAAACCATTTATTTTCTTTATGGAGCTGGCCTTTTCTGCATAGTCATGTTGAAAATAGGACGAGGGACAAACACGATCAGTGTAAATATTCCCCTTCATAAGGGACTAAGACTAAACCAGGACTAACAGAGTGAGACAGAGGAGTCCACACACTTTAGTCCTCAACCTGTCGGTGAAATCACCAGATCTCTGCTGTCAACTCGGTGAGTATAAAACTAAATTTATTGTAACGGATAGAAATGATACAATGATACGATTCTACAAAAATAAGACCCAAGTTGTAATAAACTTGTGGTTGAATTCAGTTGTGGACCTCAGCAGGGCGTCCCGATAGCTGTCGAAGAGTCTTTGGCCCGGTCGCAGAAGACAGACGGTTCTGTCGCCAACAGCCTCTTCGTCGTCTCGTCTTTGCCGCAGGGAGACAGGGAGGTCGGAGACAGGGAGGTCGGAGACGGCGACGAGGACACGTTGGAGGTGGCGGCGGTCGAGGCAGATGAGGAGGACGAGGAGGAGGAGTTGCCGTCGGGGAGGCACTCCTCGCAGCAGCAGCAGCAGCAGTCCATGAAGGCCTGGCCCAGCGAGCGACACAGACACAGCAGCAACACCGGCGTCGCAGAGCAACGTGCAAACAGCAGGAACTGTCCGATGAGGCTCAGAGCCGGCAGAGCCAGAGCCGGAAGAGCGGCGGTCACGTGGACAGAGACGTACGTCAGCGTGATGTTACAAACGCTCTCCGGCAGGTTGCACACGACGTACAGGATGGTGAGCGCCATCACGGTGGAGCGCAACCTCTGCTCTCTGGTGTGCTGCTTCTTCTTCTTCTTTGACGAGGAGGAGGAGGAAGAGGAGGCGGAGGAGCACACGCCGGTCACCTTGTCGCCGGCGGGTTTCTGCGGCAGACGCTGGGCCAACACTTGCCTCGTCACCAAGTCGCAGGCCAGAGTGAAGAGCAGCGGCAGGCAGAGGTAGCACCCGAAGATCCACCACATGCGGGCCTCGTGGTAGGTCAGCACCAGAGGGTAGATGCCCTCGGGGAGCTCCACGGACGGCTCGCGGACACAGACGTCCACCTTGAACGCTTCTGTTCGGGCTCTAAAGGCGGCCATCAGCGAGTCTCCCGGCCGGCTCTGCTGCCGGTCACCGAGGAGCGTCGGCGGCAGGCTGACGGTTTGCTGGAGGAGCTGCCACAGCAGCAGCTCGGGGGCGGCCAGCACCATGGAGCCGATCCAGATGACGGACAGCTTGGACAGGATGGACTGGCAGGGCTCCACCCTGGGAGTCTGGAAGGGCCCGGGGCCGGTGGCCGCATGGAAGCGATCGATGCTCAGGGCACAGAGGCTGAACGTGGCCACACCCAGAGAGGTCACCTGACAGAGACATGACAGAGACACACGTTTCTTGATGTGCAAAAGTGTTTCATAGATCTGGAACAAGACAATAATTAGACCAACGTTTGGGTTGCTAGGTTGAGAAAAACATCCTCTGTGCTGGTTCATCTAGTTCTTTAATTCATCAGAAGTCATCTGCAATTAGACATGTTAACAAGTCATTCTTACAATAATCCTTTATCAATGCCCTTTTATCCTTCGCAGGGTTGCAATTTTAGAGTCTACTGAAATCACAGAGCTTCAGACTCAGGGTCGTCCTTCAATCAGAGGATCGGCGGTTTGATCCCTGACTCTGTTGGTCGTATGTCGGTGTGTCCTTGGGCAAGACACTTAACCCCAGAATTGCTCCCGTAGCTGTGCCTATGGTGTGTGAATGTTAGGTAGATCCTGATGGACCTTACATGGTGGCCCCTGCTATCAGTGTATGACCGGGTGTGAACGGGTGAATGATGACATGTAGTGTGAAAGCGCTTTGAGTGGTCGGAAAGACTAGAAAAGCTCTGTACAAGTACAGTTTATTTAACCATTTACTTCACCTGACCTGCATGTCTTTGCATCGGGGGAGGAAACTCGTGCAGACAGGAACATTCAAACATCCGTTAATTCTGCAGTAAATGTTAGTTCCAGCATGGAACTGCCCCTAAATCCCAAAGTCCAGCTCCGTACAAGAGATGTCCATCTAAACACCTCAGGAAGAAAGACAGTAAGTCCCAACAATGTCCCTAAAGTTAAACACAGGACTCTTAAAGGATCCTCTGCCACCAGTTTTAATCATGTCAATTGTGTTTTTTTCCTGTCAGGTTTGCAGTGTGAACAGCTCTAAATGCTACAAAACATATGAGCTTCGGGCAGCGATTCTGAAGAGAAGAAGCTAAATGAAAGCTGTATTGAATTCAAAACGCGTCGCAGTTGTGAACAAAAACATAGTGACTGAATTCATCCAAAATTACCCAGAATCCAAAAGTCAATATATTTAAACTGAAAACCGTGAACTCAGATTGCTCAAAAACGTTGTTAGAGGCGCACAGAACAGAATCTGAAGCTCTGTGATTTATTACAGAAAAACATTTTGGAACTTCTCTTAACATTGTTTATGGGGAAAATGAATATGACTTGCAACTCCAGATGCTCTGCAGCAGAGGGTAATTGGTCCAATTAGGCACAAATGTTATTTTTTAATGGCCAATAACTAAAAAAAGAAGTGATACTGAATCTTCAGTATCAGCATTGAAAATCTGCTACTGTATTACCCAGCTCTGCTTTTAAAAAGTACAATAAAATTCAAAGCATCTCATTTAAACTCTGTTTTCATTCATTCTGCTGCTCCAGTCAGACGTGACCTGTTAGACGGAGGACCTCAGACAGAACAAGACTTCGGTCTAAATTGGGGACAGGAAGGTGTTTTGTTGCTTAAAGAACAGATTTAAGGCTTTCCTTTGCCTTGTTATGCCACCCTACAGGCAAATTAGCCTCAAACTACAGTAATAAGACCCGGCTGTAAGAAACAGCTTAGAAACAGGGGAATAAAAGGAGCCACAGAGGGAACACAGAGGCACTATGTTGTGACAGCCCGTTGCCTTCAGACCGGGGACAGTTATTGGCGCCTCGTGCACATTAATGTCGGTAGTTTTGGCCCAAAACACAGACTATCATTACAGAGACTTGTCCTCCCTCTGTGAGTGCTTAATGACCTGAAACGGTTCAGATACAACTGAAGATAATTAACACAGAGCTCTAATTAGCATGAAAATAGTTTAACTAGCAGAGCACAGGGGCAGCTGGCAGCCTGACCCGCTTCAAACCCGTCTCAATGGAAGCGGTTAAAGCTGCTAAAGACCACTTTAGGAACGTTAATTAATTAGCAAGAAACTCATTCACTCATTAGCATAAAAATAGCTGAGGCAACAACAACAAGAGGAGGCCAGCAGCCTGACCTTGTTAAGAGACTGCTGCATACAAGCTGTTATGACAAATGAGTAAAACTCCACTTCAGTGATTTAAAGCTCTGTGGACATTTGGAGCTGGTTTAGAGCCAAAAACAAGGACTCCACAGGTCGGCCATATTGTCCCTGAGACAGAAGAAGCCCCTGAAAACCCAACAAAGTGACCAAGAGGCTCCACGTTAATACTCTGTGAGGGTAAACTACGAGATTACTTCCTAAAAACCCTTTGGACAGAAGGGGCCGGTGATATGTCAGTCTTATATTCAGAGCTGCAGAGGAGCCAATTGACAGGAAGATAAATACCAAATACTTTGATGTTCTACTTTTTAGATCTCAAACATGAAGATTTACTGCTTTTCTCTGTTTTATGTTATAATCTTAATTTTTTTTTTTTTTTCAACTAAACATCTGAAGATGTGACCTTCGACTCGGACAAACTATTTTTCACTATTTTCTGACATTTTTAGAATAAAACTTTATTGTTGTTGCACAGAGTACTGAGACAGCAAACTACAGTTCAGCATCTAGAGTAACGTACACATTTTAAGGTACAAAGTATATATAAATAAACTGTAAGGGGTTGATATACAATAAGATACAGCATTAACTATAAACATGTGAAGCAGTTAGAGTAGGCATTTATATACATATATATATATATATATACATATATATATATATATATATATATATATATATACATATATATATATATATACATATATATATATATATACA